ACACACACACACAAGCGTATATATACATACATACATACACACACACTTGTATGTGTGTATGTGTGTATGTATGCAAGGGGGCTTCAAAAAGTTCATGGGCACACACACGTATATATATGAAAGGTCTTCAGAAAGGTCATGGCAATTTTACTGAAAAGATGACAATTTTTCCTCAAGTTTCTTGAAACCCACACAAACACACACTTTTTCTTTCCCAAGGGCAATCTTTACATCAAGACCAAGTTATTCACCTCGTTTTTGACACTTGCATCCGCCCCGTTGTCAAGAAGTAGCTGGACTAATGCTTCGTGATTATTTAACACGGCCACCTAAACACATAAGTAGGATGGGTGAGTCCAGATGAGCACACAGAGCCGCCCGGCCTGCATCCTGGCCTGGTCAAATGACTGGGCAGGGATGGGCATGTGTCCTGCTATATCTACAGCAAGGAACATGGGATCTCAGCCTGCCTTTCTGAATGAAAACAAAGATGTTTGGCCAGGCCAGCTTGAAATGCCCCAAGGTCTCTGTTTTAACAAGTTTGTTTTGATCCTACAGTGGCCCTGGGTGCTGGCTCTGGAAACCCTTAGAGAGAGAGTATAAAACGACAAAAAAGCATTATGATGATGTTCTCCTACCTTGTTTACCATGCTGGGGTAACAAGTACACAACAAGACCCCAGGGCTGCCCAACCTCTAAAAATGATCTCATGATAGAAAGATCTCTGCTCTGGATTCCAAACACAAAGCAGGGCTGTTTTCTGAAGAAACGCATCATACCATCAGTGGGGTCTTCCCATCTTTATCTTTCACGTTTACGTCTGCTCCAGCTTCGATCAGAAGAGACGCTACTTTCTGGTTTCCGGAGACTGCGGAGAGTCGCATGAGTGGGGTCCACCCTGAGCCACTATCCACAACGTCTACCTAATAAGACAGAACAAGAGCTGCTCTTAGCCCAGGTTTTCCCCTTAAAATTCTTCACGATAAACTTATGAAAAAAAAACTGCCTGTCCAAATCCCCCTGGTTTGCATAGCTTTCTTTCTAGACTTTGTATCAGAGTTGGCAGGACTGAGCTAATTGGATTCCCATGTCTACGTACTTAAGATTTATTAGGATCACAGTAGAAAGTTTTGAGGCTCCCTGGGGTTTCCGGTTGGCATCTCCATCTACATCCTTGTCTAATGGTAAAAGGGTCGGGAGGTAGAAAAATGTCAACATAATTGCCTGACTCTTGGCTTCCAAGTAAACTGGTCTGATTTTCCTGGCCTGTTTCTTAAATACAGTTCCTTTTGCTTAAGTTTCAGGTCTGCAGTTTTAAACTCGTCCTGGAATCAGGGGAGACAAACACACCCTTAGCGATTCTTACCCATTTTCATCAGGAGACCCACAGGTAGATCGATTCAAAACAGCTAGTTCTATGACACAAACTCCAGTCTGAAAAGTTAGCCAACCGTCTCCAAAACAGTGTTGTCTACTCATCAAACAAGGAGCTCTGGTAGTGTAGTGGTTACGAGTCAGGTTGCTAACCTCAAGATCAGCTA